AGCTGGTCCCAAATGGTCGGTTCATCCCTGGTGCTATTTGCAGGAGACAACTCCCAAGTTGGGGGCACACAGACACCAGAGTCCCATCCTCTCCCGCGCTCCCCACAACGCACATCCCCCCAGAATCAAGGCTGGCGCCTGTGGCTTGAGGAGGAACCATCCGTTAGAACGGGAAGCAGTTTTTTGTTTCATTTTGGTTTTGTTTTTTTAAGACACTCGTCTTGGCATGCAACTTAGTGCTGGAGTGGTAGCACGGCGGGGTATGGCCTTGCACGCGGCCGACCCGGGTTCGATTCCCAGCATCCCATATGGTCTCCTGAGCAACACCAGGAGTAATTCCTGAGTGTAGAGCCAGGAGTAACCCTGTGCATCGCTGGGCGTGACCCCCGGCAAAAATAAATACATAAATAAATTCTAAAATCAAATGACCCATTTAACCACTTTTCCATTTCCCTCTGCTGTCTCATCACCTCTGTTCCCCTTCTCCCCCTATGTCCCAGGAATGTTTATGCAGCCATCCATGGAATGTCACTCTTTCAGGGGCCGGGGAAGTCGTAGAACTGGTACTATCTTGTCTTGTACACAGCTGAGCTGGGTTCAATCCCTGGCACCCCATGTGGTATCCTGAGCCCAGAGCCATGGTAAACCCTGAGCATGGCCAGGTGTGCACCCATCCACCCCGAAGGAAAAAAACTTTCAGTGAATCTAAGGAACAAATGATGACTTTATTTTTTTTTGTGGGAGTAATAAATTTTAAAACTATTAAAAATTTTAAAACAAATATTGAACTGTTTCTTCTCGTTAATCATGGCAAGTTGTGTCTGATTCAGAAATCTGAAGACAACTCAATTGTAGCTAATCCCAGGATCTTCATCGGCAGGTAGAGATTGTAAAGGATTCAGATGTAGGTCTGAGTGTGATGGTAGATAAAGTGCTAAAAGGAATTTGCTCTGCTCTCATGTTGAAAGCCTAGAAGGGTTTAGGTCCAGTTTCCCTGGGTTCATGCAGAAACCGCTGCCTGCCCCCAAGGGCCTTGTTGGCGTGCAGTCCTGATGGCGGAGGCTCTCTCCATCCTGGGCTCCCACATGGAGGCGCAGAACTGCTGCCTCTGAGCGAGGTCGTCGGCTACACTCACCCAATCCCTGGGTTTGCTGCGGTTTTTCCCCAGACTGTTGTTATCTCCAGCTTAGCTGCAAGCGATGTGTGCCAAAGGTGTGTCTCTGCACTTTGTGAAAGTCAGCGTTTCTTTCGGGAGATTGTCTCCAAGTTGGGTTTTCAGACAGGTTCAAAACAGGTCCAGCTGCGGAAGGCAGGGCCAGTCCTGCCCTGCTCAGACCACTGCTAAAGCCCAGAGAGGATGGCTGGGGTGGGGAAGTACTGTTCAGAGTCCCCCACTTCCCTGACGGCCAGGGACAGATACCAGAACCAGAATGTCAGTCTCGGGCTTTGGTCAGGAACTCTGCGGGGCCGGGAGGCAGCCTCCGTGGTCCTGAGCTCACTGTGGGTGCTGATGTCTGGCTGTCTCCGCGCTCAAGCGCTGCCGTGCTCACCTCACCCTCTCTTTTTCCTCCCACTCTTGCTTCCTTTGCTCTATCTGTGTGTCGTTGATGGAAAGACTAAAGAAACTATCAACGTTATAATAAATATCATATATTTTTTTAGTTTCTAATATTTGGTTCTTGTTTTTTGCATTTTGAAAGGCTGCCCAGTAACACTTTAAGGCATTTGCATCATGACTGAGATTTATTTCTTATGAAAGTCGTAAGGAAAGAATCTGGGTAGTGTGATCCCTTGGGAAAGGTTTCTGGCCCCGGAGACCTCCCTTCCGGCTCTCCTCCCTCTGCTGTTCCTCATGACACCAAATCTAAAGCGTATTTGTGACTCAGGCATCGGTAAAGAGGCCCGATGTCCTCCAGCCACTTGTGGATTGCACGGTAGAAGTCAGAGCTGAGAAGAGACCAAAGGAATTAGCCGTGAGGACTGGTCAGCAGGAGCAGCTACCGGGGTCTGTTTGGCCGTGTCCATGTAGGGGTCGCCACATGTGCCCACTCGAGGAAAGGCTGCCAGGTGATTGTGCAATGTTCCAGGCTTGTGTCAGGAACACGCCAAGGAAGCTTCCCTCCCCTCCTGCCTCAGAGCTGATGGCTCAGGCTAGTTGGATAGTCCTGACCAAAGAATGGGAGTCTGGGACTGGAGCGATATTCCAGCGTGGAGAGCGTTTGTCTTGCACCCGGCCAACTTGGGTTCGATCCTTGGCATCCCATATGGTCCCCCAAGCACTGCCAGGAGTAATTCCTGAGTGCAGAACCAGGAGGATCCCCTGAGATCTCTCCTTATGACCCCCTCACCCCCAAAAAATCGGAATCTGCTCACGATCACGATCACAACCATCCTGTTGTTCGTCAATTGCCTCGAACAGGCCCCAGTAATGTCTCCTTTGTCCTAGACCTGAGAATTTTTTAAAAAGTGCCATATTCAAGGCTCTTTCAGGGTTAGTAGAATGAGACCCATCATTGTTACTGGTATTTGGCATATTGGGTAAGCCACGGGGAGTTTGCCAGACTCTGCCGTGTGGGCAGGTTACATTCGGTAGCCTGCCAGTTTGTCTAAAGAAAGAATGAGATAATAAGATGCTTCCGGGAGCTGGGTTTTATAGTCTCTGGGTCTTGGCCGTTGATGGGATTACAGGGCACAAGGGGGGCAGTTGGTGGGTGTAACCCCTGCCTACTGGAATATGGAGGATCTGAGTGGAGGATGCTCAGCCCCAATCTGAGCAGGCTTGAAGATCTCAGCCCCAGGACACGCATGCCTTTTTTCCTCTGCCAGTACCTTCATGCCTGTGGAGAGTGGTCTCAGCATGGTGGTGGTTGGTTGTGGAGGTCTTCGGCTGCCGGAGCCCTGGTCGGGGTGGGGAGGGAAACTCAACCTGCTCCCCTCCAAGGGGTCCCGGCGAGGACAGCCAGGCGCGGGGGCAGGAGACTCTGCTCATCCTCCTTAAACCCCTTCACTTTGAATAAACATTTAAAACCAGATTTTCTAAGTATGTGTTAGATTTGGAGCAAGGAACTCTTAAAATAATCTTATGGTGGGATCAGTTACCAAATAAGTTTGTTTTGTTTTGTTTTGGGGACACAGTGCTCTTCAGTCATTCCTGCCTCCAGAGACCATGCAGTGCTGGGGACCAACCCAGCTCTCCTGTCTGTGAAGCGTAGACCCCAGCCCAGCCCCAAACACATGCCATAGGAAAGTCAAGATTCCTGACCCACAGGTTCGCATCAGAGATTTCCTTTCCACTAAAACGCTCTTATTTCCACCTAAACAAGATCCTATTCCCTAGTGAGGTGTTGCTCATGTAATAGCTTAACTGCACAGAAGTCCACCCTTTCCGGTGTATTTCCAGCCCTTGGGTGTTGAATTCAGGAGATCTCTGTTAGTCTCAGATTCTTTGCTTTCTATTTAATGATCTGGAGTGTAAGTGTGAGCCAGGCGCTGAGAGAAATACACACTTCTCTTTTCATCTCTGTGAGAATTCCCGTTTGCCATAAACCCATGAGAATTCTGTAATGTGTGTGCGGATATCTTGGGTCTCACTAACCAGACATACATTCTGCCATTTCTAACGTGGGCCTCAGTCTCCGATTCCTCCTGTCAGTTTTGGGAGGCATCTGACACTCGGAACATGCTCTTCGTTCACCCACTCACCCGGGGACCAGAGAGACTCGGCTTGTTGCTGTAAGTTATGCCTCATTCAATGTGTCACCTGCCCGCATCACTGGTGCTATGGCCCAGAGCATGTGATCTAAACATGCATGACCCAGTGCCGCAAGGTGGGTTGGAGGGAATACCCAGTGGCCCTGCCGGCTTCTCCCAGGGGTGCACATTCCCTCCATCCCCAAGGCACACAGATTCGAAACACTGAGTAGGACACGAACATCCACTGCTGTCCTGGATCCCAGACTTTAATGAGATCCCCCACTTCACACGCACCTCTGTCTCTCTCCCAATATGCATCCCAGGAGCCACACTTCTGTCCCCTCTCATGTCCTTTCCAGGCTGTGGCATTGCCCAGTCTTGACTGAACGTCCGTCCCCACCCTGTGCTCCCCCACACACGTCCTTTTGTGTGTGTTTTAATTGTTGTCATTGCTTGGAATAATTTATTGAAGAAATAGCACTTCAACCTGGGATTAGGTGTTTCAAAGAATTCTTTTTTTGGGGGGTGTGGTGGGGATGCAACAAGTCCTTTTTTATTCTTTCTGTTCTCCATCTCCCAAAGTTATTAACTTGTTTCTTTAAATTCAAATGGACACAATGCTGCGGGTTCTGTCATGCACACATAGGCAAACTTTTTCTCCCTCACAGTTAGTAAAATTTCACTAAACTTCTTCAAGCATCAGAGCCTGGGCCCCTCCCCCCGCAATAGTCCTGGGAGCCTTTGAGCATCAGTTCTAGGGCAGTTGTGCACTGGCCTCTCTCAGGGTTGATTTCGGGCACAGGAAGGGAAGTTGAGGTCCCAGGGGCCTTGAGGACCCGCAGGGCCTGCGACCAGCGGTCCATGGCCGGCGGGTCCAAGGAGACTCAGTGGGCTAGGGGTTCCCGGGGATTCTCGCTCAGCCGCAGCAGCAGCAGGGCGCGGTTGGGAGAGGACGGTGCCCCCACCCCCCAGACAAGCCCCCGCGACGTGCAGAGGTCGGCCGCTCTGCCCGGAGAAGGGGATGCAGGAGAGACCCCCGACCACGGGGTCAGAAGAAGCCGAGCCCGTCCACGCCTCACTGGGTACCTTTGAGCCTCAGTTTCCCCACCTGGAGTGGAGGGCGCCCCTGAGCAGGCGTGAGGGTGCGTGGTGAGTCTCGGGCGGGGCGTTGCAGCGGGGACAGCCGGCTGCCGGCTCCTGTGGGCCGCTGCTGACCCCCAGTCTCCTAGACCGCGCTGAGCTGGGCACCCCTGAAGAGGGAGATGCGGAGCCTGAAGCCTGAGCCCGACGCCGCGCCTGCCGGACAGGACCCCGCTCTGCTCGCCAGGGGCCCCCGCCCGCCCTGCCCCACCTGAGGGGCCAGACGCCGAGGCCGCCGTCCAGTCCTGCCGCCGCCGCCGCCCGGTCCCCCGGACAGACGCCTCTGGACTGAGACCCCCACGCGGGGGGGGGGGGGGGGGCGCGCCCGCGCCCCAGGACTCGCGCGCTATGCGCTCCCGCGGCCCGCCTGCCACTGCCCCCAGGAAAGACGGTCAGTGGCCTCGGGGTGAGCCTCGCTGGGCGCCGGGGGCAGGGGTCCGCCCCGTGTCGGGGACACGGGCGCAGGGGGTCGCCCGCCGGGAGTCGCGGGCCCTGCTCCGGCCCCCGCCAACCAACCTGGCGCTACGGAGCTTGGGCATCCCGCCGGAGGCCCCCCCAGGGACCGCTGCGCGGGCAGCAACCCCTCCTGCGGCTCCGCAGCCGCGGGCCGGCCCCCGAGGGGCGGGCAGGGAACCCCCGGGACGGGGGGACGTGGCCTGAGCGAGGCGCTGCTGGGTGCAGGTGGGCGGGACCCCCGCGCCAGGCAGGGCCCGGCACCTGTGCAGTTTGCACAGCGGCCAGCAGAGGGCGTCGCGAGCCGTTCACCGGCCTGCTGGGGCTGCTGGTCGGTCTCTCACTGGGCAGGACCCTGCAATGGCCAGGGGAACCCGAGGACCCCCTGAGACCGCTCCCAGGAGCCGGGATGGGGCGGGGAGGTGTGGGGAACATGCCCTCGCAAGGCCAGCTGGCAGTGCAGGGGGCATGACGCCAGGGCGCCCTCGTCCCCCGCCCCCAGCTTCCCGGGAGGGTCCCTCGGAGGGAGCAGAGGCAGCGCTGTGCCCCAGCTCTGCTGGGGGTCTGGGGGGGTCTGTACAGCCCCCGGGGAGCGCTGAGTCTCGGCGGCCTGTGTCCTGGCTCGGTGGGGCACCCTCGGCGCCCCTAGCGGGATGGTGAGAGATGAGGGGAATGGGGCCCTGGGGTCAGAGCTGGGGGCTCTTCTGCTTCCGCATGGGGGTCACAGAGACCTTGGTGACCTGGGCCCTCTGGGCTGGGGCCCGCCTGCAGCCCCTGCTGTAGTCTGGGCGGGCGAGTCGTGGGGGTCATCCCAGCTGCAGCAGTGCTTGGGGACCATGTGGCGCAGACCCCTGTGCTGCCTCTCTGCCCCCAAGTTCTTGGTTCTTTAAAAGAAGCGTGTGGGAGCCAGAGACACTACAGCAGACAGGGCACTTGCTTGGCGTGCAGAAGACTCGTGGTTGAATTCCGGCACCCCATAAGGTCCCCCTGTATTGTAAACCAAAAGGCGTGTGTCAGAGAGAGGGGGAGAGAGAAAAGAGGGAGAGAGGGAGTGGAGAGAGAGCACTGCAGAAAGGAGGAGGGAGAGAGAGGTGCCTTCCCTGCCTGGGGGAGTAGGGAGACTGGGAACATTGGTGGTGAGCAATGTACACTGGCGAAGGGACAGGTGTTGGAACATGATATGACTGAAATCCAATCATGATCAACTCTGTATTTCATTAGGATTTAAAAAATTCACAAAGCAAATAACATTTTTAAAAAGAAAAAACAAATTTAAGTCAATCTTGAAATTTTGAGCGAGCAGCAGTGCAGTGGGCTGGTGAGCGATGCTAGCAGAGCCTCACCGGGCAGCTGTGGTGGGAGTCAGCTCCCATGCTCCAGAAGCTTCCGAAGCTTGACGCCTCTCCCTGGTCCAAACGGAGCCTTAATCATCAGCGTTCTTTGGGGGGCTGCAGGGGCTGAAGCGTATGAAGCATATCCCTCCTGCAGGAAAATGCCTTAATCCCTGTACTATCTCCAGCCCCTGAAGGTGAGACTGTTAAGCGGACGAAGACCAATTTTATCTTTAGTCATTTTGTTTCTTTTATTTATTTATTTTGCTTTTTGGGTCACATCGATTGATGCTCAGGGCTTACTCCTGGCTCTGCACTCAGGAATTAAGCCTGGCGTTGCTTGGGGGACCCTATGGCATGCTGGGGATCAAACCCGGGTGGGCCGTGTGCAAGGCAAACGTCCTAACCGCTGTGCGGTCGCTCTGGTCCCTTCTCTTTATTTTATTTCAACCAAAGAAACAAAACCAATGTTCTGCGCCCCACCGGCGGTGTCCAGGGGCTGCCCGGGCAGGGGTCGCCCCGACATCTTAGCACCAGCGCTGCTGTCTCTGACGCCAGTTCTCGGCTCCCGGGGGCTCGCGGGCCGCGGCGAGGACCTTGCGGGAGCCTCGGTCCCAGGGTGGGATGGTCCCGGGCAGGGTGGAACCAAGAGGTGGAGGGCAAGACCAGAAAGAGGCCCGGGGACTCCAGTGGCTTCTAGCTTCAGACGGCGGTGTGATGTCACTCTTTTCACGTGACCGCGGCGTCACGTGGGGGCGGGGCTGGACGGTGCCAAGGCCATGCACCTGAACTTAGAGCAGGTGACCTGAACTTGCTGTGCAAGTTCCTGGACAAGTGCAGGGGCAGCAAGCTGAGGGCCTGGGTGGGCATCGGCCTCTGGGGCCGGGGGCACCCACAGTGCCAGATGCCCAGAGAGAGGGGGCGTTGCGCTCCCCGCCCCTGCGGCTCGGCTCTGGGAAGGAAAACGGTGCCGACTCGAGTCGCTCTCCACAGGAAGAGCGCAACAACACGTCCAGGCACTCCCCGCTGTCCCCGTGTGCGGGGTGTCGCGGCATGCTACCCTGGGAACCACTTTTCCAGATGCCTGTTCCTCCACAGTTTCCTTGGCAGTTCACCCATGGGGTTCATGACCCCAGTCTGACCCCAGGACACTGCATACACACTCTTTGTGGATGACAGTGAATGTGCTTCCGTGGCCAGTAGCACCCCTTGCCCTGACGCTGTTTTTCTTCAGGCCACGGAATATGAGTGTGGTCAGCTATTGCTAACTGCAAGTTTTGTTTGTCCAGAGTTTGCAAATGACTGTTGTTTGCTGTTGGCCGTTACTGAAATTGCTTTTACTAAAACAACGGGACGCTTCTCTCTCCCGCAGGCAATAGTTTGGGATGAGTATCTCACAGGACCATTTGGGTTGATTGCACAGTACTCACTTCTAAAGGTAAAAAGGTTTTGGTTATTATTACTTTTTTTGAAACTGTCATTCTGGACTCTAGCAAGAGTAATATGATGTTCCACTTCTGGAGTAACTGGTGTGCAGAGCTGTCTGGTTTTTAGAATCACTGACGCTGTTATGTGTGGTAGATATTTTATCTTCTGTGGCCCTTTTGTTTATTTATTTGAAGTAAAAAAACATTTTATTTGGTGACCTTTAGGAAGAGGACGAGCGGAGAGAGAGTAACATTTCAGGAGAGACCGTGGGCTTCTCCAAAGACAGAGAGAGCCCCTACACACATCGCATCATTAGAAAGGAAAGCACAAAAGTCCCCATCTCAAGGAGAGCTGCGGGCACCACATTTGCTCGGCTACATGGGCACAAGCAGCTCAGGGGCTCGGGCAGCATCGGAGCCTTCAGTGGACCTTTCAAGGGTGGGTGTGCTCCCCCCTCTTCTCCTCGACGGAGCGGCATGTCTTCTGATTGTTACTTCATGTGGCTCCAAGTTTTTCAGACACAGGATTGGTTACTTCAGCCTGAATTTATACACCTGGCTTTGGGGAATCTAAATTTTTATCCTAAAGTGGTTTTGAATTTTATTTGGGGGCTCGTGCCAGGCAGTGCTCAGGACTTACTCCTGGCTTTGCACTCAGGATCACTCCTGGCAGTGCTCAGTGGATAGTATGGGGTGCTGGGGATAGAACCCCGGGTCAGCTGAATGCAAAGCAAGCACCTTAACCACTCTACTTTCTCCCTAGCCCCAGATCTCCTGAGCACTGCCCCTGGGCACCTCCTGGTGGTGAGTCTTAGCAGTTCGATTAGGCTTGGCGCTGTGGTGGCAGGGATGGCCACTCCAGTGGCCTCTCTTGGGATGCACATGGCAATGCTTGAGACCCTTGTGGTGCCAGGGGGCGAAGTTGGCAGTCATGTGTCAGGCATGTACCATAACCCCTGCATTCTCTGACTCAACACTAAAGTCTACTGTGCTTTGGAGTGGGAGTGTTAGAACACCTGAGTTTTTGTTGTTGGTCTGTTTTGTTTGGGCCACCCCAGGCAGTGCTCAGACTTACCCCTAGCTCTGCACTCAGGAATGACTCTTGGTGGTGTTTGGGGACGGAGTGGGAGGCCGGCAATCCAACCCGGGTTGGCTGCCTGCAGTGATGTCCAAGTTTGGGTCGGCTGCTAAGCTTTAGGGGTTCTGTTCACCATTTGTATGTGTGCTTTCCTAGGAACATGAGGTGGAGAAAATGTTCACACTCAAAGGAAGCCTGTGCAAGCAGCGGATGTCAAGAATATCATTTTTTTGTCAGACGCCCACTAGAACTGATGGATATAATTGCTGAAAATGTACTTAGGTATCTCAGAGCTGATGCTTGATCCATACGGAATCATTCCTCTGGTGGTTTTAGTGCTCATCAGGACACCTTTGCTTGCCAGCGCTTTAGGAAGTGGATCTTTGGACAGATGTGAGAGTGTGTCAGAGGAGAATGGGGGGGTCAGGAGTAGGATACTCTGCAGTCAGCCAAGGATAGATCCTCGGAACCCAGTGTGGTCCCCAAGTCTTCCGGGAGTGACTTCTGTGTGCATAGCCAGGAGTTATCCCTGAGCACTTGCAGGTGTGGCCCAAAAACTATAAATAGAGAATGGGAAACTTTGTAGATTTGGGCTTGGGGAGGCAGGGCAAACCACAGAAACCCACTCTCTCAGGACAGTAGAAAGCTCCAGCCTGTCGCAGTAGAAGGACCCAAATTTCTTTATAAAAAGAAAAGCAGCTAATGGTTCTTCTTCAAGTACTGAATACCATATGCCAAAATTTCATAAGCAAAGTCAGGAGAAGCTGATTAAAATTTAATGCTGCAACATCTATGGAGGAAGTGCACCAGCCCAGTCTGCATTACGTTTGATCGACATGGCCCCTAAGGACTTAAAAGCATGCGGGGTATTTGCGCAAGATCGGGCACGGTGTGGAGCAACCTTTTATTTTCCTAGCGACACCGCTTGATTAAATAGAAACATTTTTTTTTTCTGCAAGAAACAGATGTCCATTGCAATAACCCTGAGAGGTTTTTGGGTTTT